GGTATCATCCTCTATTTCTCTCATGAGTTTCTTGTAGTTTTCAGAGTATAGGTCTTTCACTTCCTTGGTTAGATATATTCCTAGATACTTGATTGTTTTTGATGCAATTATGAATGGAATTGTTTTCCTGATTTCTCTTTCTGCTAGTTCATCATTAGTTTATAGGAATGCAACAAATTTCTGTGTATTAATTTTGTATCCCACAACTTTGCTTAATTCAGATATTAGATCTAGTAGTTTTGGAGTGGAGTCTTTAAGGTTTTTTATGTACAATATCATGTCATCTGCGAACAGGGACAGTTTAACTTCTTCCTTGCCAATCTGGGTGCCTTTTATTTCTTTGTGTTGTATGATTACCATGGCTAGGAACTCCAGAACTATATTGAATAAAAGTGGGGAGAGTAGGCAACCTTGTCTTGTTCCCAATCTCAAAGGAAAAGCTTTTAGCTTCTTGCTGAAGTATGATGTTGGCTGTGAGTTTGTCATATATGGCCATTATTATGTTCAGGTACTTGCCCTCTATACTCATTTTGTTGGAAGTTTTTATCATGAATGAATGTTGAATTTTGTCGAATGCTTTTTCAGCATCTATGGACATGATCATGTGGTTTTTGTCCTTCTTTTTGTTGATGTGGTGGATGATGTTGATGGGTTTTCGAATGTTGTACCATCCTTGCATCCCTGGAATGAATACCTACTTGATCATTATGGATGATCTTTTTGATGTATTTTTGAATTCTGTTTGCTAATATTTTGTTGCATATATTTGCATGCATGTTCATCAGGGATATTGGTCTGTAATTTTCTTTTGCTGTGGTGTCTTTGTCTGGTTTTGGTATTAGGGTGATGCTGGCCTCATAGAATGAGTTTGGGAATATTCCCTCTGCTTTTATTTTTGGAAAACTTCAAGGAGGATGGGTATTAGGTCTTCACTAAATGTTTGATAAAATTCAGCAGTGAAACCATCTGGCCAGGCATTTTGCTCTTAGGTAGTTTGATTACCAGTTCAATTTCTTTGCTAGTAATTGGTCTGTTCAGATTTTCTGTTTCTTCCTGTGTCAGCCTTGCAAGGTTGTATTTTTCTAGAAGGTTGTCCATTTCTTCCAGGTTATCCAGTTTGTTAGCATATTATTTTTCATAGTATTCTCTAATCATTCTTTATATTACTGTAATGTCCATATTGATTTTTCCTTTCTCATTTCTGATTCTTTTCATGTGTGCAGACTCTCCTTTTTTCTTGATAAGTCTGGCTAGTGGTTTATCTATTTGGTTATTTTCCTGAAGAACCAGCTCCTGCTTTCATTGATTCTTTGTACTGTTTTATACTTCTTGATTTTATTTATTTCTCCTCTAATCTTTATTATGTCCCTCCTTCTACTGACTTTGGGCTTCTTTTGTTATTTTTCTAGTTTCTTTTTAATAGTTAGCTTAGACTGTTCATATGGGATTGTTCGTCTTTCCTGAGGTAGGCCTTCCCTCTTTGCATGGCCTTTGCTGTGTCCCAGAAGATTTTGCAGTGTTGATTATTGTCATTTGTTCCATATATTGCTTGATCTCTGCTTTTATTTAGTTATTGATCCATTGATTATTTAGGAGCATGTTATTAAGCCTCCATGTGTTTGTGGGATTTTTCATTTTCTTTGCATAATTTATTTCTGGTTTCATACCTTTGTGATCTGAGAAGCTCGGTGGTATAATTTCAATCTTTTTAAATTTACCGAGACTCTTTTTGTGGCCTAGTATCTGATCTATTCTTGAAAATGTTCCATGTGCACTTGAGTAAAATGTATATTCTGTTCTTTTTGGATAGTGTTTTGTAGATATCTGGTAGATCCATCTGTTCTAATCCATTGTTCAATGCCTCTGTCTCCTTACTTATTTTCTGTCTTGTTGATTTGTCCTTTGGAGTGATGAAGTCTCCTAAAATGAATGTGTTGCATTCTATTTCCCCCTTTAATTATGTTTGTATTCATTTCACATATGTAGGTGCTCCTGTGTTCAGTGCATTGATATTTATAATGGTTATATCACCTTGTTGGACTGATCCCTTTATCATTATGTAATGTCCTTCTTTGTCTTTTGTGACTTTCTTTCTTTTGAGGTCTATTCTGTCAGATACAAGTACTGCAACTCCTGCTTTTTTCTCCCTATTAGTTGCATGAAATATCTTTTTCCTTCCCTTTACTTTCACTGTGTATGTCTTTGGGTTTGAAGTGATTCTCTTGTAGGCAGCATATAGATGGGTCTGGTTTTTTTAATCCATTCAGTGACTCTATGTCTTTTGATTGGTGCATTCAGACCATTTACATTTAGGGTGATTTTCAATAGGTATGTATTTATTGCAATTGCAACCTTTAGATTCTTGGTCACCAAAGGTTCAAGGGTAATTCCCTTACTAACAGTCTAGTTTAACTCTCTTATATGCTATTATAAACACAACCTAAAGGTTCATTTTTTCCCCTCCTTTTTCTTCTTCCTCCATTCTTTATATATTAGGTATCATATTCTGTACTGTTTGTCTATCCCTTGATTGACTTTGGGAGAAGTGACTTGATTTTGCGTCTGCTTTGTATTTAATTGTTCTTCTTTCTTTGCTGTGTTTTTATTTCCCCTGGTGGCAGCTATTTAGCCTTAGGAATATTTCCATCTATAGCAGTCCCTCCAAAATAGACTGTAGAGGTGGTTTGTGGAAGGTAAATTATCTCAGCTTCTGCTTATCTGAAAATTGCCTCCTTCAAATTTAAGTGATAATCTTGCCAAGTGGAGTATTCTTGGTTCGAGGTCCTTTTGCTTCATTGCATTAAATATATAATGCCACTCCCTTCTTGACGTTTTTGTTGAGAAGTCTGATGATAGCCTGATGGGTTTCCTGTTGTATATGATCTTTCTTCTCTCTCTAGCTGCTTTTAAAAGTCTATCCTCATTCTTGATCTTCACTATTTTAATTATTATATGTCTTGATGTTATCTTCCTTGGGTCCCTTGTGTTGGGAGATCAGTCTACCCCCATGGCCTGAGAGACTATCTCCTTCCCAAGATTTGGGAAGTTTTCAGCAATTACCTCCTCAAAGACACTTTCTATCCCTTTTTCTCTCTTCTTCTTCTTCTGATACCCCTATAATGAGAATATTGTTCTGTTTGGATTTGTCACACAGTTCTCTCAATATTCTTTCTTTCTTAGAGATCCTTTTTTCTCTCTGTGCCTCATCTTCTTTGTACTCCTGTTCTCTAATTTCTATTCCATGTACCATCTCTTCTACTACATCTAATCTGCTTTTAAATCTCCCCATTGAGTGTTTCATTTCAGATATGGAATTTCTTAATGGTTGAATCTCCATCCTAAATTTGTCCCTGAGTTCTTGAATATTTTTCTGTGCCTCCATAAGCATGTTTATGATTTTTATTTTGAACTCTCTTTCAGGAAGATTGGTGAATTTGGTTTCATTTGGCCCTTTATCTGGTGTTTCCGAGATTTTTGTTTGAACCAGGTTATTTTGAAATTTCATATTTGTATGTGGCCAGAATCTCTGGTCTCTGTCACTGCTCAGCCCCTGGTGTGATGTTGGGGTTTACAAGGGTGCAGCGCTCATGCCTAGGGGTAGAAAATAGCTGTTTCCTTCTTCCAGGCTACAGTGCCTGTGTCCACTGTCAGAACTAGTGGTCCAAGCACACAGGTGTAAAGCCTCTGTGCTTTGCATCTGTAACTGCCATAGGTGGGGCTTCCCTCTGGCTGGTCTGACGCCAGGGCATGGATTGCTGGTTTGCGAGCCATGCTGGCAGGCCAGGAACAAGACTCAGTGGGCTGCATATCACACTGGTGGGCCTTGGAGCTGAGTAGGCAGCCTGGGAAATGGAGTGCCTGAAGCTCCTAAAAGTTCCCAAGCTTCTGGGTGGAGTGTATCCAGACAACCTTGTGCATCTCTTCCCTCTCCCAGTCAGCAAGCTCCATGCAAATCCCGCCTCTTAAGCAGCCCTCTCGCTGCTATGAAGTCTCTAAGACCACCCACCTTTCCTTTGTTCCAGAGCAGCTGAATGTGGATCCTGTCCTCTGCAATCAGCTGGAACTAAGTCTCTCCAAGTATTCTGCCCTGTTTTAGCTTTCCAACCCCACTAATCTCCAGAGCACCATGCAATGTAGGTTTGTGCTCCCAAAGCAGATCTCCAGGGCTGGGTGTTCAGCAGTCCTAGGCTTCCACCCCCCTTCCCGCTCCATTTCTCTTCCTCCTGCCAGTGAGCTGGGATTGTAGAAGGGCTTGGGTCCCACGTGATCAAGGCTTTGGTATGTTACCCTGTTTCATGAAGTCTGCTCTGTTCTCCAGGTGTATGCAGTCTGGTGCAGCCTTATTTCCTGTTGTTCTTTTAGGAATTGTTGTATTAACCATATTTTCATATTATATGTGGTTTTGGGAGGAGTTCTCCCAAAACCTCCCACAGCACCACCTTGAATCTTCTCTATCTGGCCATTCTTACAGTGACATTCCAAATAATCACTCATTTGATTTCCTTAGAGTTCCCTTCTGCTACCAGCATCCAACATTTCTGGCCCTATAGCATTTGTAGAAGTACACCATATCTTTTGAAGCTATCTTGTACATATTTTCGCTTGTGGTTTCCTTTCTCAGTCCTAAACTGTCTCAACTTTCTGGGATACATTTGTTTCTTGTCCATTGAGGAATTCTCTGTTTGGTTGGGGTTTTTTTCCTAGTTAGATTTTGGATTTCCTTTTATTTTTATATCTTCATCTCAAAGAATTTAGGGATGGGGTAGAGACTGCATTTATGTTCTGCTCAATACCTTGAATGAAGTCTCTATTACATTTTAGCCATCACTAAAAAAACTGCAAAAAATTTGCCACCATTAAATGACATTCACTCTAAGGCAGAATTTTTACATTTGAAGTTATAGTAATGGTTAATATATTTGTTGTAAAATTGATGATAAAATATATCCTATTTGGTTAAAAGGATGTTTTCAAACTGGTTTTCAAAGTCCTCCTCTCAGTTTTGTAATAGGTGCCGTCTCTCCAGCTGTTGTTATCCCTTCCATGCTACTTTTGCAAGAAAATGGATATGGTATTGAGAAAGGCATTCCAACGTTGCTAATAGCTGCTAGCAGTTTGGACGACATCCTGGCTATCACTGGATTCAATACATGCTTCAGCATAGTCTTCTCCTCAGGTAATGAAAAAACGCAATAGCTGCCCTATTATTCATAGCTTTTTTCAGTTAGCTCTTTAAACGAGGTTTCTAGCTTCATTCTTCATTTATTAACCAAGATCTTTTTACATTTACCATATTTTATTCACAGAAAGCTCATTCTAAACCAGGAAAGAAATTTCAATGGGTTAAGATTTCATGTTAACAACCATGTATTTCAATTAGTTTGATAACCCATATTATTACCATTAATCTGCTCATGTTGCTTTGGAATTTTATCACAGTTTTCAATTGAAAACTTTAAGAAACAATATTATTAGTACTACTAATATATTTAATAGACATTTTTTAAATGTACCTTTGGCCATCATTTATAAATAAATGGTTGCTCTATTATTAAGACAACTTAAATATATACAACATGGACAGCTCTGGGTACATTTCCAGTAGTGATGTGGTTAAGATCCTGCACTAATTCTGAATCCAAGGTGATATTTTGTCCTGAATGTCACTCTGCAGTAATTGTGCAAGTCAACGTTTCCACGTTTAGTAATGCTTTCATTATCTGCAATGCTTGGAATTCAGTCTTCTGTATTATTGAAGCACCAAGATATTTTTAAGTTGAAAGTAAATACTTGTAAAGTTTCTTTTTAAATTATTACATACAAACAAATAAGAAGGAAAGAGGACAAAGATAAAAATAAAATCTGCAGTAACCATACCTCCAGGAATAATAATTCTGAATCTTTTCATGTTATATCCACCCAGATTCTCTTTCTCTCTCTCTCCCCCCTAATAGTCTTATAAAATTATTAAACATTGACCATACAGATTTGTAACCTGAGTTGTTTTACATTTAACTTTATATTACAAACATGTTTCTTTTCATTAAGTATATATTTTTTGTATAACATTTTAAGTGATTGCATAGTATTCTATTGGCTGCATCACAATTACTTAACCTATTGAAAATTGAGGTTGATTCCAATATTTACTATTAAAATAATGGTTGGCTGAACATCTTATCACTAATTAGTTGTTCCTAATCTTAACATTTTCTTAATCTTAAAAATGGGACTGTTGTGCTGAAAAGTATATAGAGTTATAAGCTTTTTGAAATATATTGCCACAATATCATATCCTATCAGGTGTAGAAGGTTGCCCCTTTCTCTTCACCCTTCTTCAAAACTAGGTATTAATTAGATTTTTTTGACCTCTAATAATTTGATAGAAGAAAAGTGAAACCTCTTTAAGTGAAATAGTTTGAATAATAATGATGTTAAACAAATATTCATGTTTATTGGCCATTGGCATTTTGGATTGTCTTATCAATTGCTTTTCTTGAAGTTTTTACCTATATCTTATAGGTGTGTTAATCTTTTCTTCTTTTTGATTTAAGATTCTGCAAAAAAATTAAAAATGGTAACCTTTTGTTTTATATCCTATAGTTTTCCACATTTGTAATGGGACTTTAAACTTTATCTCTTTTGCCATTCAGAAGTTCTAAAATTTTTATTTTCAAATCTTGAAATCTTTTCTTTCAAGAATAGTATCAGTCATTCTTTCAAAAACTAATTATTGTGTTTCTCTTTCACTGTGCCAACTACTGTGCCAAACACTGAGGATAAAAAATGAATAATAATATTAACTTTTATTAGTAATGTCTTGACACGTTCTCTAAGTCTCATAGACTATTCCACTCATTTAATAGTCATAATAGTGCTACACTCATGTTATAGACAAGAGAACTGAGTTCTTATTAAACAAATAATTACAAATGTGATGAACATTACATAGTATGAGATGCTGTGGGAGCACACTATAGGAGACCAAACCAAATTTGAAGAGGACCAGAAAAATGAAAAACCAAGCAAGTATATTCTTAGAAAATCCTCTTCTTCTGCATGATTATACAGTCACTTAAAATTCTGAGCACTTTTAAGGTTTCATTTTATACATTTGATCTTCAATACATCTATATTTGGAATATGATAGATATCAAGACCTAACCTTATCGTTTGTATCAATTGGCTCTTTCATTATTATATAATGTCCTTCATCTCTTGTGACAGTATTTGACTTAGAGTCTCTTCTGTCTAATATAAATATAACCACCTCTGTGCTCTTTTTGTTACCATTTGCATGGAATATCTTTCAAACCTTATAACAATCTATTTTAAAGTGATAACAAGTTCAATTGCATGCAAAAATTCTACTCCTTTATATCTCTCTGTCCTCACTCTGTTATAGCTTCATTGCATTAAATATATAATGCCACTCCCTTCTTGACGTTTTTGTTGAGAAGTCTGATGATAGCCTGATGGGTTTCCTGTTGTATATGATCTTTCTTCTCTCTCTAGCTGCTTTTAAAAGTCTATCCTCATTCTTGATCTTCACTATTTTAATTATTATATGTCTTGATGTTATCTTCCTTGGGTCCCTTGTGTTGGGAGATCAGTCTACCCCCATGGCCTGAGAGACTATCTCCTTCCCAAGATTTGGGAAGTTTTCAGCAATTACCTCCTCAAAGACACTTTCTATCCCTTTTTCTCTCTTCTTCTTCTTCTGATACCCCTATAATGAGAATATTGTTCTGTTTGGATTTGTCACACAGTTCTCTCAATATTCTTTCTTTCTTAGAGATCCTTTTTTCTCTCTGTGCCTCATCTTCTTTGTACTCCTGTTCTCTAATTTCTATTCCATGTACCATCTCTTCTACTACATCTAATCTGCTTTTAAATCTCCCCATTGAGTGTTTCATTTCAGATATGGAATTTCTTAATGGTTGAATCTCCATCCTAAATTTGTCCCTGAGTTCTTGAATATTTTTCTGTGCCTCCATAAGCATGTTTATGATTTTTATTTTGAACTCTCTTTCAGGAAGATTGGTGAATTTGGTTTCATTTGGCCCTTTATCTGGTGTTTCCGAGATTTTTGTTTGAACCAGGTTATTTTGAAATTTCATATTTGTATGTGGCCAGAATCTCTGGTCTCTGTCACTGCTCAGCCCCTGGTGTGATGTTGGGGTTTACAAGGGTGCAGCGCTCATGCCTAGGGGTAGAAAATAGCTGTTTCCTTCTTCCAGGCTACAGTGCCTGTGTCCACTGTCAGAACCAGTGGTCCAAGCACACAGGTGTAAAGCCTCTGTGCTTTGCATCTGTAACTGCCATAGGTGGGGCTTCCCTCTGGCTGGTCTGACGCCAGGGCATGGATTGCTGGTTTGCGAGCCATGCTGGCAGGCCAGGAACAAGACTCAGTGGGCTGCATATCACACTGGTGGGCCTTGGAGCTGAGTAGGCAGCCTGGGAAATGGAGTGCCTGAAGCTCCTAAAAGTTCCCAAGCTTCTGGGTGGAGTGTATCCAGACAACCTTGTGCATCTCTTCCCTCTCCCAGTCAGCAAGCTCCATGCAAATCCCGCCTCTTAAGCAGCCCTCTCGCTGCTATGAAGTCTCTAAGACCACCCACCTTTCCTTTGTTCCAGAGCAGCTGAATGTGGATCCTGTCCTCTGCAATCAGCTGGAACTAAGTCTCTCCAAGTATTCTGCCCTGTTTTAGCTTTCCAACCCCACTAATCTCCAGAGCACCATGCAATGTAGGTTTGTGCTCCCAAAGCAGATCTCCAGGGCTGGGTGTTCAGCAGTCCTAGGCTTCCACCCCCCTTCCCGCTCCATTTCTCTTCCTCCTGCCAGTGAGCTGGGATTGTAGAAGGGCTTGGGTCCCACGTGATCAAGGCTTTGGTATGTTACCCTGTTTCATGAAGTCTGCTCTGTTCTCCAGGTGTATGCAGTCTGGTGCAGCCTTATTTCCTGTTGTTCTTTTAGGAATTGTTGTATTAACCATATTTTCATATTATATGTGGTTTTGGGAGGAGTTCTCCCAAAACCTCCCACAGCACCACCTTGAATCTTCTCTATCTGGCCATTCTTACAGTGACATTCCAAATAATCACTCATTTGATTTCCTTAGAGTTCCCTTCTGCTACCAGCATCCAACATTTCTGGCCCTATAGCATTTGTAGAAGTACACCATATCTTTTGAAGCTATCTTGTACATATTTTCGCTTGTGGTTTCCTTTCTCAGTCCTAAACTGTCTCAACTTTCTGGGATACATTTGTTTCTTGTCCATTGAGGAATTCTCTGTTTGGTTGGGGTTTTTTTCCTAGTTAGATTTTGGATTTCCTTTTATTTTTATATCTTCATCTCAAAGAATTTAGGGATGGGGTAGAGACTGCATTTATGTTCTGCTCAATACCTTGAATGAAGTCTCTATTACATTTTAGCCATCACTAAAAAAACTGCAAAAAATTTGCCACCATTAAATGACATTCACTCTAAGGCAGAATTTTTACATTTGAAGTTATAGTAATGGTTAATATATTTGTTGTAAAATTGATGATAAAATATATCCTATTTGGTTAAAAGGATGTTTTCAAACTGGTTTTCAAAGTCCTCCTCTCAGTTTTGTAATAGGTGCCGTCTCTCCAGCTGTTGTTATCCCTTCCATGCTACTTTTGCAAGAAAATGGATATGGTATTGAGAAAGGCATTCCAACGTTGCTAATAGCTGCTAGCAGTTTGGACGACATCCTGGCTATCACTGGATTCAATACATGCTTCAGCATAGTCTTCTCCTCAGGTAATGAAAAAACGCAATAGCTGCCCTATTATTCATAGCTTTTTTCAGTTAGCTCTTTAAACGAGGTTTCTAGCTTCATTCTTCATTTATTAACCAAGATCTTTTTACATTTACCATATTTTATTCACAGAAAGCTCATTCTAAACCAGGAAAGAAATTTCAATGGGTTAAGATTTCATGTTAACAACCATGTATTTCAATTAGTTTGATAACCCATATTATTACCATTAATCTGCTCATGTTGCTTTGGAATTTTATCACAGTTTTCAATTGAAAACTTTAAGAAACAATATTATTAGTACTACTAATATATTTAATAGACATTTTTTAAATGTACCTTTGGCCATCATTTATAAATAAATGGTTGCTCTATTATTAAGACAACTTAAATATATACAACATGGACAGCTCTGGGTACATTTCCAGTAGTGATGTGGTTAAGATCCTGCACTAATTCTGAATCCAAGGTGATATTTTGTCCTGAATGTCACTCTGCAGTAATTGTGCAAGTCAACGTTTCCACGTTTAGTAATGCTTTCATTATCTGCAATGCTTGGAATTCAGTCTTCTGTATTATTGAAGCACCAAGATATTTTTAAGTTGAAAGTAAATACTTGTAAAGTTTCTTTTTAAATTATTACATACAAACAAATAAGAAGGAAAGAGGACAAAGATAAAAATAAAATCTGCAGTAACCATACCTCCAGGAATAATAATTCTGAATCTTTTCATGTTATATCCACCCAGATTCTCTTTCTCTCTCTCTCCCCCCTAATAGTCTTATAAAATTATTAAACATTGACCATACAGATTTGTAACCTGAGTTGTTTTACATTTAACTTTATATTACAAACATGTTTCTTTTCATTAAGTATATATTTTTTGTATAACATTTTAAGTGATTGCATAGTATTCTATTGGCTGCATCACAATTACTTAACCTATTGAAAATTGAGGTTGATTCCAATATTTACTATTAAAATAATGGTTGGCTGAACATCTTATCACTAATTAGTTGTTCCTAATCTTAACATTTTCTTAATCTTAAAAATGGGACTGTTGTGCTGAAAAGTATATAGAGTTATAAGCTTTTTGAAATATATTGCCACAATATCATATCCTATCAGGTGTAGAAGGTTGCCCCTTTCTCTTCACCCTTCTTCAAAACTAGGTATTAATTAGATTTTTTTGACCTCTAATAATTTGATAGAAGAAAAGTGAAACCTCTTTAAGTGAAATAGTTTGAATAATAATGATGTTAAACAAATATTCATGTTTATTGGCCATTGGCATTTTGGATTGTCTTATCAATTGCTTTTCTTGAAGTTTTTACCTATATCTTATAGGTGTGTTAATCTTTTCTTCTTTTTGATTTAAGATTCTGCAAAAAAATTAAAAATGGTAACCTTTTGTTTTATATCCTATAGTTTTCCACATTTGTAATGGGACTTTAAACTTTATCTCTTTTGCCATTCAGAAGTTCTAAAATTTTTATTTTCAAATCTTGAAATCTTTTCTTTCAAGAATAGTATCAGTCATTCTTTCAAAAACTAATTATTGTGTTTCTCTTTCACTGTGCCAACTACTGTGCCAAACACTGAGGATAAAAAATGAATAATAATATTAACTTTTATTAGTAATGTCTTGACACGTTCTCTAAGTCTCATAGACTATTCCACTCATTTAATAGTCATAATAGTGCTACACTCATGTTATAGACAAGAGAACTGAGTTCTTATTAAACAAATAATTACAAATGTGATGAACATTACATAGTATGAGATGCTGTGGGAGCACACTATAGGAGACCAAACCAAATTTGAAGAGGACCAGAAAAATGAAAAACCAAGCAAGTATATTCTTAGAAAATCCTCTTCTTCTGCATGATTATACAGTCACTTAAAATTCTGAGCACTTTTAAGGTTTCATTTTATACATTTGATCTTCAATACATCTATATTTGGAATATGATAGATATCAAGACCTAACCTTATCGTTTGTATCAATTGGCTCTTTCATTATTATATAATGTCCTTCATCTCTTGTGACAGTATTTGACTTAGAGTCTCTTCTGTCTAATATAAATATAACCACCTCTGTGCTCTTTTTGTTACCATTTGCATGGAATATCTTTCAAACCTTATAACAATCTATTTTAAAGTGATAACAAGTTCAATTGCATGCAAAAATTCTACTCCTTTATATCTCTCTGTCCTCACTCTGTTATCAATGTCACAATTTACATCTTTTTATATTGTAGATCCATTAACATAGTTTTATAGTTATTGTTATTTTTTATGCATTTACCTTAAAGGCTATAACAGAATTAAAATGATTTACTCACCACCATTACAGTATTACAGGATTCTAAATTCATCTATATATTGACCTTTACGAGAGATTTAAATTTATTGCTTTTGTGGTGCTAGCATCCTTTTATTTCCACTTGAAGGGATTACCTTTAACACTTCTTATAAGGCAGGTCCAGTGGTAATGAATTCCCTCAGCTCTTGTTTATTTGGGGGAGTCTTAATTTCTCCTTAATTTAGAAGGAAAATATTGTGCAATAGATTCTGGTTTGGCTGTTTTTTTTCTTTCAACACTTTGCATATATTTTCCCAACCCTCCTGGCCTCTAAGCTTTGTGCTGTGAAATCCTTGATAATCTTACAGGAGCTCCCCTGTAATGATGATTTGCTTTTCTCTTGATGCAGCTGAATTGGTTTGTAGAGGTTCATAAAGGCCTTTGACTGTATATTGTTAAGTTGGTGTCTCTGTGGGAGATCATGGTTCTAGGGCTTCTCATTCCACCACCTTGCCGTCTTCACCCTCCATTTCTATTTTTAATGGAAATATATTTCTAAGATATACATATTTACATACCTTATTGAGTTAAATTAAATACACAGAGAGAGCATAACAACTTTTTTTGTGACTTGGTATCATTTTTTTAACTGACTTTATGGATGCATAAAATATACTGGAAACTCAATTAACCATTGAGTATTGACCCTGGAATAAATCTTTTGTATGTTATTGTTGTGAAATTTTCCTTTTTGTGTTGAAGTCATTTGTTTCTTTGTCATAATAGTACATCAGAGAGTGCCGGAGCTGCTCCTTTGTCAGTCTTTGTCTATTCTTCTACCTTATCAGGTTTTTTAGATGAGTATGTAAGGGGAGCATATTGTGGCTACTTACTTCTTTTGTTTTCTGGCCTGTTTATTCAATGAACATTTCTGAGTTGTGTGCATATATTAAATCATTTAAGAGTACATATTTAATTTTCCAAATAGGTCTGCATATGTTTTCATGTTTGTGAATAATGAAGGCCCATTTTTGTATAGTCTATAAAATATGTATCTTTCTACATGAACCACCCAAATTTGATTTTCTGATGTGTTGGGTATGTGAAAATATTTCTCTATGAAACGTTTTCCTTACTGTGTGTCCTTGCCCTTACAGGTAGTATACTTAATAATGTCCTAGCCTCTTGTAGGGACATACTTGTTGGTATACTGATAGGAGCTGTTTTGGGAATTTTTGTTCGATATTTCCCAAGTGAAGATCAGGTAAATAAAAAGTTAATCTATTTTTTAGAAGTATAAAATAGACATTTCTTTCAAAAATTTGAGCTTTTGGAAGGCTCATGAAATATTAAATTTAATATTCTATTTTCTTTCCCTAAAAGTAGCTTCCAGTGCCTATTCTCTGCTTAAAATCAAGCCTAGTTGTGATTGATACCAGTCAGTAGCCATGACTGAAGTCTCTGCAGCCTGATTAGGCAAATTAGGAATATCATAAAAGTATCCTTTCCTTTCCACCTCACCCCTTTATTCACTGAATTCCCTGTGGACTACTAACAATTGTTCCTGGTCTTTTTTACCCTCAAACGTTTCCCTTGAACATTTTAAGGGGCACTGATTTCTACTGTAACTGGATATTTTTTGGCGTAAATTCACTCCCATTCCCTTTGACTAAGGCAACACTATTAAACTCAGTCCTTTCTAGCCCTAAATGATGCATCAGTACTCTTGTATTTCTGTAATTTCCCTGTAACAATTGTATTAGCTGAAGAGATATTCATAAATTTGCTTTTAAAAATGGATATGTTAAATGAAACTATATGTTATATAGGTCTCTTTCCTCTCTCATTCACTTACACTTAAATTGTTATACCATTTTATTGACATTAGTGTCAGAGATGTGACAAAATATAAAACTGAATAATTGCACATTTTGTCATTTGGTACCAAGACTGCTTAAATATTTGGTGAGGCAGAGAGCAAAGTTTTAGACATTATTTAATATAACATCTAGAGACATGGTATCAAAGGGTCAATAACAAATGATAGGTGATGCAAATATTGTACTATATATTAAATGTATATTAATTTCTAAATATATATCTAATTCTAGACAAGACTTCCATTAAAGAGAGCATTCCTTGTTGTGAGTATGGGTGTCTCTGCCGTCTTAGGCAGCCATCAGATCGGTTTACATGGAGCTGGAGAATTATGCATACTAGTGTTGACTTTTGTTGCAGGAATGAATTGGTCCAAAGAAAAGGTGAATATATATATTAAATATTGATAAAATAACTGCTTTAAAAAGATAAATAACTGCTTTTTTTACATCTATAATGAACATTTAGGAAATCTCTTCATTCTAGTTGGAAGGTGTTCCAAAAGTTTGTGTCTTCTAGGAAGTGTATGAATCTTTTTCCCAAGTTTTATACAATATGATTATGTAACTTTTATTGATTTATTTTATTCACTAAAATTTTAGTTATTTAATTAATACATGAAAACATATTCATAAAAGATTAAAACAGAAGGTCCATATATAGAATAAAATGTAAAAGACTTCTTTTCCCCCTACCACTCCCAACTATCAAATTCCCCTTCTTAGGATTAATAATTTCCTCTAATGTGTCCTCTATTTGCAAACATTTAGATCATTTCCACTTTTTTGTTACTACAAACAGTCCTGCCATGAACGGTCCTGTTCATGTGTCTTTTTGTAAATGTACAAGTACTTCTTTAGAAATAGATTCCTAGAAATGTGAGTGCTGATTTTAGAAGTGGTACATTTCTATTTTGTTGGATATTGCCCAATTATCCTCTCAAAAGATTTTAACTTACTCTACTTACTACCAGCAGTGTAGGAGAGTCCCTCATACACCAACCCATCAACAATCCTGGATATTATCATTAGTTTGGGTTTGTTTTATTTTGTTTTGTTATACAATCTGATAGGTAAGAAACTATATAACATTGTTATTCTTTATTTACATTTCTCTGATTAGTGGTGGAGTACGTTTATTTTCATATACTCTTTTTCACCTACCTATTCATATTCTTTGTCCATTTTTAAATTGGTTTATTTGCCTTTTTGTTCCTAATTTATAGAGTTTCTCTATTTGTTACTGTTGCTGTATATATATTGCTTATAATTTTTGCTTTATGTTAAACTTTATGATGTGTCTTGTACTGAAGTAAAGTTTCCTGTAATCAAATTTGTCAGTTTTTCCTTTTTGTTTTGTATTCTGTAGCTTGTTTAAGAAGGATTTCTTCACTCAAGATTATATTATTATAAACATTCAAGTATCTTCTATATTATCATTTAATACTTTGGTAGTTTTTATTTGTTTTGTTTTTGCTTTTGGTTCGTTAATCCATCCGGAATTTATTTTTGTGAATTCTGTAAGATAAGGATATAATATACATATGTGTATGTTTATATAGATGTAGTCACAGACAGATTTATACATATACATATAGATAGATAGATAGATAGATAGATAGATAGATAGATAGATAGATAGATAGATAGATATAGATATATGTATATGAATTGGATAGTTCATTTTTGTACCAGTAAAATTATAATTATAAAAGCAATTAAATAGGTAACAATAAATTACAGTTGGATAAATAAAATGAAAACTACTAGTTTTTTTATATGGTAAAGGAAATCAAGCAGTAAGAATAAATTTTAAAGATTAAGAGTAACAAATATTATAATGTGCTATAAAAAAGAAAGAGTAATATTATGTTTTATTTGTTTTTTTCCACTTTTAAACTTTGCTTTTATAAATGGCAATCAGAAAACCCAGTCATAAAGGGAATAATTATGAAAATAGCTTATGCCCCAAGCAAAGGATATCCGAGTTATAGCTATCTTCTGTAAAAAAAAGATAAGCCCAGACTGAGAATAAAATCTTCTTCATCCAAATTCCTGGAGAAGAGGCAGAGTACTGTTTTGTCCGTAGGGGACTTTGCTATAACCATGTAACTGGGGAAGTAGCCCTGGGAAAGATCTGCTGCCAGAAAGGGAAACCAGGCAAGAAACCAATTAAGAATCTATTAGTTGTTTTTGGTTTGTTTTTAAGGAAAAAACAACTTTCAAGCTTTTAATGTGGGTCCATTGGAAACAGACCTAACAGATGACCATAATTTTTTTTCCCCTAATAGCTTTAGACATGTCAGGATTCACTTTTATGAGGCTGAGTTCCAGGGAAATCTTCTCAACTCCCTTTTGAGAGCTGAAAAGTCTGCATGATCTTGAATATCTTCTCATTGGGCATGATGTAGTTCTACCTCTGTTCAGTTCCCTTACAAACAAAAGCTAGAACTCTTACCGAACCATCAGAACATGTCTGCAATTCCAAAGAGCTTAACTTGCTTCATGACAAAATTACCAAATAATATTTTTATATTATAGCTTTGTAGATTTCTTTTAATCAAATTCTACCTCAGTATTTGAATAAAAGAATTAACCAAAAAAAAAAATTAACCTACTTAATAAATTTTTATTGTTTTAACATTTCTTATACAAATAAAATATCTTAACATTATTAAATGTTGAGACACTTTAAAATTCTGAAATGCTATTTTTTATGTGCCACAGTAATTTAAAATGTTTTTTCATTAATTTAAAAATGTTTTTTAATTAATTAAAAATGTTTATAATTTAAAATTTTTAATGTCCTCTTTCCTACAGATCAGAGTCCAAATCATTATTAAAGCTGTATGGGATATTTTTCAACCCCTTCTTTTTGGTTTGGTTGGATCGGAAGTATCTGTTGCAGCTCTTAAATCAAATGTTATTGGTAAGAATGGTGAGAGGCACAATAAATACAAGAGTTGAACAAGTGACAAAAACTCTGAATAACTTTTATTTACAATATGTCTTTGAATACTGCAAAGACCTTCTTCAGAAGCTCATTTTTGCTGCATACACCTTGGTCTTCCTGTACCCTATGTATTCCCTGTTACCAAGGACAGCCCTGACTATCTTCCCTGAGTGATCTCAAGAAAAGGAGATTGGAATTTTTTTCTGAGGGAAATATTAGATACCACCGGCATCTTTGAATACTTTCATTTATAGGAGAAGTTCACAGGCTATTAGCTCAGAATTAAATAAATGTAAACTATATTTCATGGTACCTCCACCATCAGATAATCCCTTGCACTTTACATAGAAGCCTCAATCATATTTGTATTTTTCATGATTATTATTATTATTATTATTATTATTGTTTTGTAATAGGTTTTTGTTGTTGTTGTTTTAATTAATCTACAATTATATAAAGAACATTATGTTTACTAGGGACCCCCTTGACCAAGTCCCCCCCACAAATCCCATTACAGTCACTGTCCATCAGCATAGTAAGATGCTGTAGAATCACTACTTGTCTTCTCTGTGTTGCACAACCCTCCACATCCCCCCCATATTATACATGCTAACCATAATACACCCTTTCTTCTTCCCCACCCTTATCCGTCCCTTCTCACCCATCCTCCCCAGTCCCTTTCCCTTTGGTAACTGTTAGTCCATTCTTGGGTTCTATGATTCTGCTGCTGTTTTGATCCTTCAGTTTTTCATTGTTCTTATACTCCACATATGAGTGAAATCATTTGGTATTTGTCTTTCTACACTTGGCTTATTTCACTGAGCATAATACCCTCTAGCTCTATCCATGTTGTTATGAATGGTAGGATTTGTTTTCTTCTTATGGCTGAATAGTATTCCATTGTGTATATGTACCACATCTTCTTTATCCATTCATCTACTGATGGACATTTAGGTTGCTTCCATTTCTTGCCTATTGTAAAAAGTGCTGTGATAAACATATGGGTGCATCTGTCTTCTTCAAACTGGGCTGCTGCATTCTTAGA